TTAAAGCATAATTAGTGGCACTTGTTAAATTCAGAAATGGACCAAGAAGGACTGCGGAGACTTCCCCCACTACCTCACTCCCGCTGGCAAACAGTCTTCACGGTGCCAGAGAAGCCTCCTAACACCAGGCATGGCATTTTCCAGCAGGTATCCACACAAATATTAATAACGTGTTTCAGGATAGCAACCCCAAAGGTGGAGACTGACCTCCTGAGGCAGCTCCAGCTTGGAGCGGTCGGTTCCCTCCTTGGACTGCAGCCCCATCAGGTAGGGAACGGGAGCGTCCAGAAAATGCAGGAGAGAGGCAGGAAGGATGGGGACATACACGTGCTGCCACTGAAATGGGAAGAGCAGCGTCGTGATCCCCTCCGCCACCGTCATCAGACGCTGGTAATCTAAACAGTGAGAGAAAGAGATGGACAGTGAGCTATCTTTCTGTGTTTTGCTTTTGAAATCTGGCTGGCAAGCACAGCAGCGACAAAACAAGGCAGAAACCATGTTTATATGGCAAGATGTTCTTCTGAAAATAAGACAGTACTTAAAAGCCTTAAACATTATTTAATTCGTCAAAACTCATTACCCCCAGGAAGAAACTGCTGAACATAAATATTCAGATCTTATCTAGATGTATTCCATCATTAAATTAATGTATTAAAAGTATACCAAAAGTCCTCTCTAACGTACAGGATAATAATACTCTGATTCTATAAAAAGCATGTATTTTTACAAGGGAAAAAGGAGGAGAAAGAAGCGAACTTCAAGGAAAACATTCCAGTAAGACTTTCTTGCTTGCTCCTGCCTGCCTGCTTCTGCTACTACTTCTAAGGCTGACTGTATTTTCCCAGAGACTCACCTTGGTCACAAACCAGCAGAAGTTTATAGTCCCTAAGTGTTTAACAGCATTTTTTTAAAGTAAAATCCAAACAGAAGCCTATCAGAAATTTAGTTCTCAAAGATATTATGTATAGTTGGCATATATATATTGCATTGTTTTCCCAAATTTGTACTTAATCCACTAATGTATTGCTTTGCAATGTTTTGGTTCAAGTAAACACATTTTTTTAAATCGAAATTTAATTTGATCCAGCTGAGCTGCAAGACTATTTCAGAATTTGGACAAGAGCAAATTATTTCTCAAATATCCAGCTGGCATGGTGCAATACCACAACCTATTTATTAATATAAATGAGGGAAGCTGAATTTGAGAACACAGTTTAAAAATAAATAAATAAATCACATGTTGGTGTTAAAGCCATCCTTACAGCAAATCTCAAACCGCAGACAATTCATCAGGAAAGAGGTAAAGACCCTTGGGTCTTGTAAGCTGCTGGTGAACATGAAACCAGATGGTTGCTTCTAGTCCGTATTAAAGCAGCTTCTGCATCACACAGGCAAGCAGGCAAGTTGGTTCTGATTCCCGTCCTGGGGCTCTGCCACTTGTGGAAGCTGCTCTGTTATTTGCAAAAGGGGTTGTTCCCCCCAGCTTCAGCGCATGGGTACGTCACCAGTAACCGGCAAGAGCGGCAGAAGCGATGGCTCCCCTATGACTGCATCCAAACCCAGTTCTCATCAGTGCCAGGCATGTCTCACGAGCTTCGGCTTGAGCAACCAAAAAGATTTTCAACCTCACCGAGACCAGACCCCTGGTAACACTTGGGTCATTGCCCATCTCTCCTAGCCCCTCTGCCCCACTCTGTGAAATTAAAGGTACATGTATGAACGTTCTGGTTTTGAGTTGGGCAAGAAGGCTTTTTTTCCTGTAGCCCCCTTGGCTGCTTTCACATGGATAGGGACCTAGCCTGGCCCTTCCCGTTTGCTGAATGGACCAGCCTGATACCCTGGCAGACACCAGTGACAGCAAAAGCTCTGTCACCTGACACTGCTCAGCTATTAGGAGGTCACTGGGAGGATGCACTTGAATAAATATGTAAATCAAAACAACAAATTGCATAACCCACTCTCCTGCTTTCTAGCACCTCTCTGTGGAAAACCCGCCTCGATCTGCAGAAGGTCAGCTGGCAGGGCAAAAACATTTTTCATCTTGTCTTACTAATAGCTAGTCATTCAATCTTCAAAATGATTTTCATGCATACCAGTCAGTCTCAAGGTTACACCTCAAAACCATTCCTAGCTACAGATCAGCCATTTATGAATCTCTCCCTATGCAATGGTCTATAATTATACACGTCCATTGGCTTGTCTTGTTGAGGAGCACTTACACAGAATGAACTTACAACATCTACCGGTGAAGTTTAGGCGTCTCGCTTTATAACTCTGAAAGCTTTAAAGGTTAAAAAAGAAAAAAAAAAATCAAATACAGAAAGTAGCATGTCTTAGTGTGCACAAGACTATTTCAAAGTCTGTTCTGATCTACATAGTCATGTAAAATAACAGGTCTTCACAGCAAAGTTGCAAGTATCTTTCTGGATAAAGCTGTTCAGCTCTGGAAATGTGGGCTCACCCTTCTTTGATGCTACTGATAATATTTAACATAGTCACTAGCACAAGTTTCATAACCAACTTACTATGAGGAAAGCTGTTTTAAAAAAAAAACCAAACTAGCGATGACCAAATCATTAGGCTAATTGTTACCATTTAGCAATGTTTGTCAGCAATTAGCAGAGATAAAAACAACTCTGTACCCAGCAGATTTCACCAAAGAGAAGGAAGTTCCCAGGTTCCTCCAGAAAAATAATTTAAAATAAAACATCTGGCAATGGTTCTTTTGATATCTGTTTAATGAAATAAGAAACTCTAGCTACTTTGTATTTACTTTCAAGCCTGTACAAGGTTAGACACCTATCCTGTAAGGCATAGTCTTTTCTGATGGAGAGATTCTTGTACTTATCAGCATTTGAGGGAAGCTTACGTGGTTACTGAGGACAACCTGGGAACAAGGGACTCTTACGTTTCCCCAAACCAGAGAGAGAAAAAGGGGCAGCAGAAGAGAAAAAAAAAAAAAACAACAGGGAAGGAGGGAAAGAATGGAAATGGATGGAAAACCCAGGGTTAGTACAGACCGTGTGTGCTTGCATCAAGGGGGACAGCATTTCCAGATCCTATCCCACCATCACTACTGGACTTTGACAACAATCTCCAACTGCAACCCAAGTTTTGCCTGTCATTTTATGAATGAGAGGCCCAGGTAGGAAAACTACTCTCTGATCCTACTCCAGCCCCCTTTAGAGAATAGAGGATTAGATAGTATTCACTAGTTTAGGATGCATCTTTTGAGAAAGGCCTGTTTGTTGAGCAGAGCGAGGACTCAACAGCCTTGCTTCCCGTCCATCTGACATCAAGAAACATCCGGAAAAAGATACAAAAAGTAAAACCACTGTCTGGGTAATATCCACAGGAGGTCACGAACTCAGTGTGATGAATGGCTCAAAGCAATGCAATTTCCTGAGATCAGTGAAATAAATCCCTCCCTCTTCTCGGGGCTCACCCACCTCATGCAGCACAGGACACGCTGGATGCCGTGAAAGGCCCTGTGAAGCCAACCAGGCTACTACCGGCTGCTTAAGTGCATGAGAAGAAGGTCAAAGGCCACGGTCATGGCCCCCAGCAGCAGCTGCTGCCACCAGAGCAAAGATTTGATCCGTGTGAAATCATCCCTGGGTACAGAAATAAGTAGTGGACAGTGGAGACCTAAGCTTGGGGCTTCCTCCCCTTCTCTTTGCTGCACAGCTCAGGACAGCGGAGAAGGACCCAGAAGGTCTGGAGACTCACCAAATGGCCCAAATGCCAGACGTGTTTCTCAGCAGTGTGCAGATAGACTTTTAGCTTTAAATTTCTCTTCTCCTGGATCTCCTTTCCATCTGATTGTTCCACCTCTCTTACTTGCATTGCTATATCCCTCTTTTCCTTTCAGTTTTCATTTCTCCCCACTCCCAAAGTGACGATAGCTTATACCACAGTATTTATTTTGCTTGGGTGCTATACTTGCATCCCTTGCCCTGCCTTCTTGGGACAGGGAACTATCCTGCCTTCTCCAGGACAGGCAACATCATCACACACAGCCCCTACAGCAAGTTCTTTGTGTTCAGAGTTAAATCTCTAATTTTTACACTGGACATTTTCCAACAGAAACTGCTCAGGGAGGGTAATCCCAAGGCAAAGTGGCCCCTATGGTTTCGATTGCAACTTGCTGCCTCCTGACAACTGCTTAGCTGGATTTGGCACGGGTCTGTCTCTCACAATTAACCTTCTCCCTAAGTGAAGAAGAGGGCAACAGAGTTGAGTTTGAAGACTCTGGATCCAACCCCTTGTTCTGGCAGCATCTGCCAGGTGCCCTTGGCCAAGTCCCTGCACCTCACATCCCTGTGTAGGACCAGTAACCGCAGTGGGGACCCGCTCTGCCGAGGGTCAGCAATTCTGCTGCACGAGCGCCACGTTTCAACCATGCTTTACAAAGGTCTGGAAATATTCACGTCGCTCACAAGGTACAACGAAATGCTTGAAATGCAAACCCTGAGAGATTCCTGTATAATTATGAATCACTGTTTTGTGCTAGAGATGGCAATGGTTTCAGCATCTGAACATCAACTCACTATAAACGTTTTTCTGAAAGAGGACAAAATTTGACAAATATTTGTCTTGATGTTGATTCTCCATAAAAACAGTAGCAGGACAATAACCAACCAGCATGGTATTACAACAGATACTGTGCATGCAGAAATATCTATCCCAAAGAGCTTAAAAGTCCAAATACAGGCAGCGACTGAGAAGGCAAAACAAAATAATCCTTCTCCCTTCATTTTTCAGATTGCGTGTAGCAGCTCTGAGAAGGCAAAGCTCAACATAAAAATTGCTTTTCCTGCTACAAAGGAGTCCCATATCTCATAATCCTTCACATGCTGTAGCAAAGCAAAGCCAAGATACTTTGAGAGGGGAAAGGGACATCTATGTTACCCCTGCCCAGAACAGCTAAGACCTCCCTTGTTCAGTTGCTACCTCCAAACCAGGTTCAAATCTTCGGTCGTAATCAAACAGAAGAGAATTCCAGCTGGGACCGTCTCAGCAAATGCCCAACCACAGGATTTTGGAGTCTAAGGCGTGTGTAAGAGCACACGCACTCTCATTCAAACCAGGAACGGCATTCTTGCTGTGATCAGTACAGTGTTGTTCCAGTTCCAACACACCCAAGCTTCCCGATGAAAGAACAATTTGGCAGTTTTCCAACGGAACTCTCTGCTCCAGTAACCTGCCCAAGGTGAGGTAGAAAGCCTACCGCAGAGCGGAAGTCTCACCCTGGTACAATGCTTTAAAAATAGACCATCCTTCCTCTTTCTTTTCCTTTTCAAGTCCTGCTTTACAGACAGTTTGAAAGCACTTGGAAGCACTTGAAAAGATGGGTTACCTGGACACCACTCCCTTTCCTCTACTGCTTTTTGAA